AGAGAGAGAGAGAGAGAGAGAGAGAGAGAGAGAGAGAGAGAGAGAGAGAGAGAGAGAGAGAGAGAGAGAGAGAGGCCTGTCCATTGGAGTAACGTGATTGTGGAAGCTGTGCATTGCAGTAACGTGATTCTTTTTTCTCGTGTATGTACATTATTATGGAAGTTGTGCAATGCAGTAACGCCATTCTTTTTTCTCTTGTATGTCTGGGCAGGTAGAGTATGGTAGTGACCTCATGGTAGGAAGTGGCTTTCCACGAAAGCATCCCAACAGAAAAGGTAGGATCAAAGGCCCGCATTCTTTAAATTTCCGTTGACTGAATCCATGCTGTCAGATACATTTCTCCTGAAATCTTCTTTCCACCTGGATATCTTGGAATGTGATGCTGGGAATCTGTTTTTCCAACTTTTTGTTTGGACTTTTGAGATTGGCTCTGACAGTACTGGCTGCGGTTTGTCTGAGTTGGTATCTCTGTCCTGTGGAGGGGAATCAGGGTCGTTTTGATGGTTGAGTGCATCAAATATAAATGGATCGAAATGGTGGAGAATCCCATCGTCGGTCCTACCGGTCCACGGCCTAGATCGTCAGAAGCATGTAATAAATCTGAAATCTCGGCCGTCGTGTAAACCAGATTGACGGTCCGGATTGGCGAATGGTCTTAAGATCTTAAGATCTCGCGCTGATGGGGACCGTCGATGCGGCAGGACCCCACCCCGGCGATCGGAGTCTATGGCTGGGAACAGGTTTGCCCGCTGGAGTGGGCTGTTTCTGTGCACGGGCTCCCCAACCGGCAAACCTGTTCCTGCAGGCTGCCCTTTTTGGTGGCAGCACAGGCAAATCCTACGGCGTGGTAATTACTGACCCCTATGCTACTCTACTCTGCACCATACACGTGCACTCGGGTGATGTAACTACTTTTTGGTGGTGGCACGTGTACTGTTCTTTGGTGGCGGTGCACACATTTGTAGTGGCAGCACAGGCAAATCCGACAGCGTGGGAAAGACCGACCCCTATGCTACTGTACTCTGCACTATAGACTTCCAGTTTCCTACCTTATTCTTCGCTACCATGCTCGACTCTGACTTCACATGTGGATACACATACATGAGGCCTGACGAAACACTGGCACATACACGCAAACACACACGACGTGCCTCTGTGTTCCTAGCATGTAGGAGCCATGTGCGCCGCGCCATTCAATGCAGCAATTGTGACTGTGAAACTTGGATGTGGTGCTTCCGCAGTCCACACTCGAACCATTCCTTTCCGGTATTTAGGGGTAACTGCTCCTCAGCCAAAAAATATTTTTTGCAACCGTGTGCCATTCTAGAGTAGTCGGTTACGGCGGTGAGTGTTTAGAATTCTGCGAAGTTCGTCATACACCTCTCCCCTGCCCTTTCTATGTCATACTCTATTTTGACCTTCACATGTTTCTTTCCTGCTCCTTACCCTTCACTTCCCCCTGCCCCACACTCCTATAGAATTCTGCCTTCTATCCCTTTCCCTCCACCTCCACTCCACCCTCCCCTTTTGTGCTGCTAGCGAATACAACCGAATGAGCATTGTTGAGAGAACAGACGATACGAAGATCGGAAGTGAAATGAATGGAAGTATGAAGATGAAGGACAGACAGACACAAGGATTAAGCATAAGCTGAAGATCTGAAGAGAAATGCATAGGGGCTGTTCTGGTGCAATTTTTTAAAACACACACACATGACATGGTGAGTCCTTGTCCATCAGCCAAATGCATCTCGGTTAGACTGTTGGGGTTCAGCCTCCTGATGAGTCAGGGGAAGTCCGACGAAACAGTCTGGCTTAGTCTGCTTTTTCTATGGATTTGTGTATAGCGAACAGGACAACACACACACATACACAAACACACACAGACTGAACACAAGAGAGAGAGAGAGAGAGAGAGATGGGAAAAGTCCTGCAGCACAAACTACCAGGATTGATCACTCAATCGTGTGTGTGTGTGTGTGTGTGTGTGTGTGTGTGTGTGTGTGTGTGTGAGAGAGAGAGAGAGAGAGAGAGAGAGAGAGAGAGATTGAGAAACTGCAGTTGGCCGTTGGGTGTGCTAAGTGGTTTGCCAGCATCACAGGTAGGCCATGAGATGTGGTGGGCTCAGTGATTGGCATGCAATGTTCGACCATCGTGGTATGCCAGCATCACGGGTAGGCCGTGAGATCTGGTGGGCTCAGTGATTGGCATGCAATGTTTGACCATCGCGGCCTGAATGCCGCACCACGCTGGGTGATTCAGGTCAGTGCCCCCGCCACCCGAATAAGTCCCTCCTCCTCCTCCTCTGCCCCTCCCCCCCCAGCCTCTGCTTCTCCGCTGCCCCTCGGCCCTCTCCCCTCCTCCGCCGCTCTCCTCGACCAGCATTCCCCATCGCTCCCTCCACCAGTGCACCCCCCGCCAGCACTCCCCTCAGCTCCCATCCACTACTCCACTCCCCTCCTCCCCTCCGCCAGCTCTCCGCTTCACTCCCCACCGCCTGTGTTACCTGCGCTTCCCTATGCCAGCACAACACTTCACTCCCCTCAACCAGTGCACCCCGCCAGTGCTCCCCTCCACTTCCCTCCGCCAGCGCACGCCCCTCTTTCAGCACTTCCCTCCACTCACCTTCAACAGCACTTCCCTCCACTCCCCTTCAAAAGCGCTCCTCTCCTTTCCCCTCTGCCAGCTGC